CTTAAAGAGTTATACTTTTTCAAAAATATTATTTTATAAAAAATTAATATATTTTTTTATGAAAAATAATATTTTTTAAAAGAATAATATTTTTATTTTTTAGAATAATAATATTTTTTTTCAAATAATTATATTTTAAAATAATTTGTTTTTTAGAAAATTATCTTATAAGAATATTTTTTAACTTATTACTTTGCAAAAAGCATTTTTTAGGAAAAATATTTTTAAATAACTTTATTTTTTTAAAACTTTTTTGAAGAAATTATTATGATAATAATTTTTTAAAGATTAGTTTAAGTCTTTAATGTTTTTCTTTGAATGTAGAGTAATGATTTTAATTTTTAATAAATTTGGGTTAATTGCAACTAAATTGCAACCGTGATTTGCAGTTGTTTTTAAGTTATATGTTTCAACTAATGGTTGTTTTACAACTGTGGCTGCAACTGCAACTATGGGTTGCAGCAAAACTAACGCTTACAACTGGAGAAACCTGACCCAATTGCATGCAATTGCAAGCAACCAAACACCCCCATGTCCAGAACTCGACAAAATGAGGCAGCAACCTTAACAAAAACTTAAAACCCTCAAATCTTGGAGACGATCTATTGACAAGGCAGAATAGATTTTTCAGATACTAGCCATGCGCCCAGAAAAGACGTCAACTGAGCCACACAGAAGAAAATCAAGAGAAAGAAACATATATATCCTTCCTATTTGCTATTTGTTGGGGAATCTGCCCGGTTTATAAAAACAAAATGAACCTAGAAGAAAAATATATGTCAAGGCTGTGTCATGAAGTTTATTCTTTTATACAGATATTATTGTTTCGCTAGTTAAAGCTGTACAGTTGCAAAATGGAAGCATGTTTCAGATCTTATTATCAAGGACCTCAGCTGGCATGTTGAGATCAATAAAAGCCTTGTCTCCATAATCATCTCTTCTGGCGCGTTTATGCAAAGAACATCCGCTCTCAACTGAACTTGAAGATCCTTGAAACTGAACGCCGGCCCGCTTAGCTAGTGAATTTGCTCCTGTTTCGCACATAGAGAGCATATTTGTAAGTGATGATCTTTTACATATTTTACTCAAAATAGAAAGCAAAACACTCGTAGGAAAAACAGGAAAAGGAATTTTCACAAAATCCCCCCCAAGAAGTATGGCCATTTTGAGATAACCCAAAAAGTTTAGAAATTTCACTTAACTGCCAAAACTTTTGCATTTTTCTGAATCTATTTTCAAATAACTCCTTTTTTGTGGGCTTAAGTGAGATTTCCAAATTCTTCTGGGTTATTTTAGAATGGGCCAAACTTTTTGGGGGTTTTGGGAAATTTACACAGAATTAAACATTGCATATAAGAAGTATGCTGTACTGGTTGGCTACATAAAAAACACAAGGCTAGTACTTGAGAATAATATGTACCACTGCCATTTGCTATCGTGTTCGATTGTGGACAGCTGTCCTCATTATTGGTTTTCATGCTTCTCAAACTTTCATCAGAATCCCAAGAAATTGAGAGCTCCGATGCCTTCTCAAGTCCCTTGGATTTGTATGGGGCAATGTTGTGGGCACGCTGAAGAGGATACAGTAAGTCATTCTCTATACACTGATACCTGCGAGGATAAAGCAGAGTCAGTACAAAGAACAGACTGAGACAATCAATCATTAACTTGTGAAAACAAACTCACATTAGCTTGCATAATTTATCAACAACATTGGACAGATTGATGACATGCTTCATCGTGTCCATGACCTCATCATCCGAAAAATCTTGAAATTCCTTTTCCAGAAACATAGACAGCTTCTCTACATTAGATTCCAGCTGTTGCTGCTGGTCTTCAAATAGGTTCTGCTTCAGTTCCCTCTCCTCTGCTGTCATCTCATCCTTAAAGAGCTCATCGCCAAACATGTAAAACGCAAACGGGTACGAATAAGAAAGAACACGTCTCGATCTGAAGAGCCTGCTTAATCCATTCGTCACCCAAGTGTAATCTTTTATTCTAGATTGCTTATTTTCTGAAATAGAGATTTTCTGCTGGATACTATCCTTAAGATTACTTTCCTGCTTAAGAGAATCTATATGCGCCTTGTAGCGATTGTGATAATGCATGTAGCGATAAAGGTCCCTCCTTGCACGTTCAGTACGCTTTTCTTGATCTTCTTTAAAACGCCCGCAACTGTGATTTCGGATGCTCGACCATGTGTGCTCTCGCCCAGTAGCACCACCACATAACCAACTGTTTAGTGACAAGCAACATCTTAAAAGTAGTTTGTTGTCATTCTTCAGTTAATAGTTATGAAAAGCTAGTCATAAATGCTTGTGCGACAAAAAACTACTGGTTCCAAGTTGTGCAAGTCCATAAATTTCTTGAAGGATGAACCAATAATAGATAAGTGATAGATCCAGAATTCCAAAAGAATTTTCTAGCCATGGAATCAAGAATACCTGCCTAATGCTAATGGGGCTGACAACCAAGCTAAACATATGTGGCCCCTCACAAAGTTGAGAATGATTGAACAGTAATCGTCAAAAGAAATATAAACTTGCTAGGACTATAAAATCCTTTTAAGACCAACGTCAGAAAAGCTTTCAAGTGAAAGCTAATTCATGTGTAAAAAAGTTATCAACAATATCTAGTCCCAAAGATCTACCATATAAACATCATTGGCATCTCTACGTACATTTTCAAACTGATGCAGGTCTGTCTGCTAAAGATTCGACTATAAGTCGAGAAATCTTCGAGGTATTTAGATAGCAGTTCTCCAAAATAGGGAAAAACTCGGAGAATTCGGCTGAAGATTCTTTTCACACCAGATATGTCATGTCAGTTGGATCTGCCTGTTTTATATATTCCTTTGACACAATACGAAAAATGGCATGATTCTTAACAATACAAAAAATTTCGGCTACTCAACATTTTTTGCACAGCTCATGATGATGTTTCTTTAATGTTTGGGAACATAACCAAATGATGTTTCTCTAATGTTTTGAGAAAAGAGGATTTGTTCCATTGCATAACAAATTACCAAATGATGTTTGGCGACATAACCAGGGGATGTTGAAAAGGTGAGTAAAGTTTTGTTTGTTGTAATCACGGTAACTAAGGATTTAGTTGCTTTCAATACGGAAGACAACCCTGCCTGATTTAGCATTCTTGGGAACCAGCACTTGGCACATGCAATGCGTGTGTGAATTTGCACTTGTTGGGTACTAAAACTTATTTTCTTGGCACTAGTATTGGCAGCTAATTAGAAGTTCAGATTTAAATTTATCCTGGGTCCACCAACCCAATGCTTATATCCCTACTTTGCTGCATGGTTTATGTGTTTCATGGCATTAATCTCTGTATATGAATGGTTGACCATTCTAGCAGTGTCCTACAATGAAGAAAAATCTAGACTAGGGAACATAAGGGTGCAGCGCAAAAACAAATGTGTTTCCATCCATGGTTTTCTCGTATTAGAGACTAATTAACATCCAACCAAAAACAGCCCTTTCATGTGATGTGCTTTTTGGGAATCAGTGTGCTAGGAATGTTGCATTAGTGTGCTTCACCTGATCCAGAGCAGATGTGAGAATTTCTACAAAATAAAATTTTCCATACTACACACCATCTGCCAAAACTAGCCCTATGCACCATTTGAAAGGAAGAGCAGGAGGAGCGATGGTACCAGCATTAGTGATGGTGGTGAACGTGACATATCAACTATACCAAAAATAGTGCTATGTTTTTTTATGAGAGGAAAAAGATGAAGGTAGGTTGCAGCCAGAACAATAGTGGTAGTAATGATGTGTGCCTGATGTGTGGATGGGGGCTTTTGTCCGCTGGGGTTGGGTAGACTGGGATGAGAGGAGCAGCAACTACAAGGATGTGGTGGCAGCAACGATGGTCGCTGATGGTGATTAAGCTTACCGAGGGTGGGCATGGCTCACAGTGACAACGATAAGGGCAATCAGGGAAGTGACATAGGTTATAGGGTGGTAAAAGTAGAGAAAATGACAGCAACAGCGACAATGCCAGTGCATCAATGAGAAGTGGCAATAGCCATGGTGGAGGCAATGGTGAAGCAAGGATACAAGGAATGACACTAGAGTGAGTCAATGACAACATGTCAACATATATTGCACTAACATGGAGACTCTGAATAAGACACAAAATACAAGCATAAACAAATTCTACAAGTACGGAAAAAATATAAAAACCAGGTCTAACATATGTGCAACATGTGGCATACCTTCATGATACAGGTGTCCATCCCACACAAACGATTGATGCAGTGATACTGATGGTGTTGGAGCAAAGGAATAACAGAGTTTCTTTAAGAAAATGAAATTTTGCTTCTGAGGTTCTCAAATATGAGAATATAACATATATTGCCTTATCCACATATTACAAAAAGAATTACTTTCCCACAAAACTAACATAGGAATGTGATGCTGACACGAATTCAATGTTCGCATGAATTATTTGTGCTCATGCCAAATGCAGGAATCAATAAAAGTTTATTCCCAGCAGAGTCCTCTATACAAAATGTGGCCTTAAAGTTTAGCAGCATAGGTGTAATCCAAGGATTTCATCAAGACCTAGAGGATGTCTATAAATCCCATCCAGACATTGTCTTAAGACATAACATACAGATAGGATGAGTTTCTCTGGTCCATTAAAAATTGACTTGCCTACGAGTTAAACAGCCTTCTAGGATTTATAGGCAGCCCCTTTGGCAATAGTTTCCTTGTTGTAAATTACACACCGATTTAGAGGAAAGACTCGAGGTTGTTCAGTCCTTCAAATTCTGTAGTTCGTACTCTCCATAAATTGACACTATTTTGATGTGAAAAGTTGCAGATAATGACAAGTTGAAGACGATTGGCAATGCCTTCAAAATGTATTTGTAATTTATATCAATAAATATACATAACTAGTAATCTTTCATTATTTAAAAGGGGATTTATATGCCAACCAAAATTCAGTTAAAAGATTGACAGGCATAAAGGTTCAAGTAATTTAATTCAATAAACACAAGATGTCACAAGAAGTACCAGGGACTGAGACAAAAAGGTTACCCACGACAAAGCTTACAGCACATACAAAAGGAGAATGTTGCACTGCTTAGATCTGGATTATGAAGAAATAAGGACAAAAGGATGGAGTAAATGTGGACAAATCGGGCAATCATGTCAGAAAGCCCAGGAAGCAGGATAAGGAAAATACGTCATCAAGTAAGACATGACGAATTAAGATTGAAATTTTAGAGATAGTCAAACTTCTAGAATAACAAAAGATTCTGTACGAACTGCAACCAACTTTAACCATCATGACATAACATAAGACTTTTCCTACCACTTGGTTGCCAAAATGAAGAAAGGCTCCTTGAAAGAATTTTGACAGGTTATCAAACTAATGCAAAGTACCTAAATAGGTGCAAACTTCTGTATAGAAACTATAACAAGAGAGACTGTTATGAATCCTACATTGCAGGAAAACCTAAGTGGTTGTCCTGTACTTTAAGCTCATTTGCAGGAGTAACTCCCCAAAATTCTCCTCAAATAATTAAGGAACACTGAAGAATCTAGGTTTATGAATATTATAAGAGAATGATACAAATTGGACCTTGACTGGCGACTCATACATCTAATACTATTATAAAAGTGGGTTGTCATGTTAAAACATTTCTTTCCGAAATGTCCTCCAACACATTCATTCAAGCATAAATGAAGATACATACATGGTCAAGTTTTCATAACCTCTACATTGCTTGCACATCCATGCTTACATAAAGACATACATACAATTTTTCATAACCTCCCAATTGATTGCCATTAATTTTCAAATGAAACACTTACTCATAACACTCCTCCACTAACACTTGGTACACTAAATATAAATTTATTTGCACTAATGATATAATAAACATTACAACTATTCCTCTCCCACCAAATTACTATAAATAACAATAAAATTTTATCACACTTCTCCAATCAACTTTCCAATTACACAACCACCACCACCAAGCCTTTATCCCAAATGTTTGGAGTTGGCTACATGAATCCTATTTTTTCATTCCATTCTATTATAGGTCATCTCCTCCGTCAAGTTAGTCTTAATCATATCCTTCTTAATTGCTTCTAACCAAATCATTTTAGGTTGCCTCTAGATCTCCTAACCACATTAACTCTAACATTATCGCTTTTCATAATCGATGCACTAAGGGGTCTCTGTTGTACATGACCAAATCATTTTAATCTATTCTCTCATTTTATCCTTAATAGGCGCATCCTTTAATTTACTACGGATGCACTCATTTCTTATCTTACCTTTTAATGTATACTCACATGACTATCACAACATTCTCATTTTTTCTACACTTATTTTTTAAACATGTTTTTAAATTGTCCAACACTCTGACCCATAAAACATAGTCGGTCTTATAACCGTCCTATAGAATTTTTCCTTTAATTTTATTGGTATTCTACGATCACATAAGACTCCCGAAGCACTCCTCCATTTTAACCATTCTAATTAGATTCGATGCACAACATCATCATTTATCTCACCATCATGTCTAACGATTGATCCTAAATAGCAAAAAATGATTAGTTTTAAGTATTTCTTGGCCATCAATATGTACCATAGGCTCTCTTCCTTTTCCAGTTTTACAAAAAATACACTCCATATATTTTGTTTTTGTTCTACTAATTCTAAAACATTTAGATTCAAGAGCTTGTCTTCATTTTACTACTTTAGAAATAATGTCTCTTCTAGTTTCATCAACTAATACTATATCATCGATAAATAACACGCACCATGGGATTTCATCCTGAATGTGCTTAGTAAATTGGTCCGTAACTAATGCAAAAATATAAGAACTTAAAGTTTACACCCAGTGTAAATCTATGGTAATAGAAAATGTTTTACTCTCTACTTCATTAGTTATTACTCTAATTGTTACTCTATTATTACTCTAATTGTTACTCTATCATACATATCTCTAATCACATTAATATATATACTAGATACATGTTTCTTTTCTAACACCCACCACATTATCTCTCGAGACACTCTATCATAAACTTTTTAGATCGATAAAAACTATATGTAGATCATTTCTCTTCTCTCTTTATCTCTCTATCAACCGTCTGAAAATATGTATAGATTCCATAGTTAACTTCCCAGGCATAAAACCAAATTAATTTTCAAATATACTTCTCTTTTCTTAGTCTTTGCTTAATTACCCT